TGTGGGATAAATCTAGCCACTAAGTGTAATATAAAGAACCTATAAGTATTCACTGATTCAATAAACTGTTCATGGATGGTGGAAAAGTATGATGACTGAAAGCCATAGGGTTCAATCAAATGGATTATCAAAAATGCTTATTAAAAGAAGGCTTTACTGCAAAACTTAATATAATATGAACATTTTGTTGAAATGGATTCTGTTCCCCCCCCCCCCAAAAAAAAAATAATAATAATAAATTTTACGTATTGACAAGAGCTTCAAAGACCTGGTTAAATGAGTCAATGTAATTCAATTGATGCATCATCAATAAAATGGGAAAATGGAGTGCTAGATATATTAGACACATGGTATTTAATACATATGTATGCTAGATGTATTAGATACATGATATCATGGTATTTCTTGTAATGTGACTCACTATAAAGGGTCGCCATATTTTAAAATGATCAACTGTGGACCAAGTTGATTTGCAGTTTGGAGAAAGATACCCTATGAAGATACTGAAAGTGTAAAAAGTCAATTAGATTCCGTATTAAGGGAGCATGGCCCACCACAAGAACTATTGACGGACAATTAAGTGGTGTTTAGATCAAATGAGTTTTCAAACTTGTTTCTCCACGCAGCAGCCTTGTTCATCAAGGTTTGCATTTTGGAGTTAGAGTTGAGAGAGGTTTGTAATCACAACTAAAAAATAGCCTCTTGGACTGTAGTGGTCTTCATGGCCTTGGGGATGTGAATTAAAATAATAATAAAAAAATTATGTGAGATATTGTGTGTAAAAAAGATGTATAGATGTGCCTGTGGACCATCAGGAAATGAGATTTTGGGGTGTAACTGTCACACAGTAAAACAAACAGCAGCAAGGACACAAATATGTTCATTACTAGTGGTATTTTAGTACCTGCTTTCAAAAAGATAACTTCCTCAGGTGTCTGCTAATTCAAGGGGAAAAAAACATAAAAATTTAGAAAAGATAACAACAGATTACAACAACATATAGAATTGGAGAACAAGTTTAAGTTCGCCCCGCTGATGCAAAGTGCATCCCAGTTTGGAAAATTGGTACTGTAACCAATATACAACCTAAACATGTGCAAGATGTGAGAATAGCTCCTGGCTCAAATTTTATAAATGTTTTAAATAAAATTATTATTAGTAAAAAGAATGACAGTGATGATAATGAATTAGAAGATTAAGTTATTTTTACTGTGAGGTAGAAAAAAATAAAAAATAAAAACAGTTGCTGATGTTGAAGAAGAAACTGATGGCAAAGAATCGCCAATAAATTATTACTATTGATCAGACGGTCAACCAGAGAAAGTCAACATATTTAAATTATTAATTTGCCTAAGAACTTTAGTTTTTGGGGAAATGTGATAATGGCTAACTGTTATAATAGTTTGTTGTTATACTTTTTATATTAATTAATTGATGTAATTTATTACCACTAGTCATATGCTATTTTTTTTTATTACTACGCCTTTGAGAATTTTTGATGTATATAAATTGTAAATATATTTTGAAAGAGAAACAGAATTTAAAAACATAAACAAAGTTGTTGCATCAAAGTAAGGGAAGTCATAACCTGTTTATAAAAATCTATTCATACCACAGATACTAATGGCATTAAAATCTTATCTAAATTGTCAATAAGTGTAACATGTCATTAATTTAAATAATTATTTCTTTTAAAGGAAAAAATTATGCAAGAATTAATTCCTTGTAATTTAAGTAATTATTTCCTTGATTTTAATCATTTGATCAACAATCAAGCCAACCATCAGACGCTTTAAATCTATTTATATTAACTTTTTCAGCAAGTTCTCTGGCTTTTGTTTTAAGCATTGTTGCTTATACTGCCACATTTCTACTCCTTACATTTAAAAGCCATTTAAAAACAAAATTATCTAAATTTGAAAATGTTCCTTTTTTAATTCTAATACGTTTTGACTTGTTCCCTTGCGTCTTCATTCAAAATATTTTTCTTTATTTTTGATCCATGTTGACAGCGTATTTTTTGCAACGCCATATTTCATAGCAACCTGAGACTTTGACAATCCTTCTCCAATTTCCCTTAAAGCAGAGTACATTTCTTTAATTTATTTTTTTATTCATTTTTCCCTTTACAGCGACAGTAGCCATAATAAAATGTAAACACAATAAATTTTATTTAAATATTGCAACGCACGTTAGTATAACTTAAACTATAAACTTAATCAAAGTATTATTATAGTTAACTTTGCAATGCAAGGGCTTTATTGCAGTTTTTTTTCACATTTTTGCTCTAAAGTTCGAGTTATTGGAAAAACATTAGCCATGGGAACAGATAAAATGGTTTGACTTAACGGGTTTGACTTAACAAGTTAACGGGTGTTCGAGTTATCGAGCTGTTTTTATGTGAAAGTATTAGTGAAGGTTTAAGGGGAACTCAAAAGTAATTTGAGTTGGTGGAAGTTCGAGTTACCCGGGGTTCGAGATATCGGGATTTCACTGTATAAAGTGTGTATGTTTTGGTTTCAGGTCAAAGTAGTGCCCAACCACTATCAAGAGCTCCAAAATTGACCTCTCTAGCTCATGTTAAAGTACAACTAAATAAGGGACTATCAAACAGAGATTCTAGTAGAATTCAGGTTGTTGCTCACTGCAATGATTTATCGAGTCTTGTGAATCATGTTATTCAATCTTTCAAAATATCTAGTGAATAGTTTAAGCTTGAAACTAATGATGGTAAAGCTTTTCTTAAGTCTAAGTCATTGTTGATACTATGATAAGGGTTGTTACCAGCTCACAGCCTGAAAAACAACCTCCTACTCAAAGAACTGGCAAAGACACTGAAGTTAGGAGATAAATTCTTGTTGTGGTATCAGAAGATTTTGCTAGAAAATCACTCCAACATTGAACAAATTTGGTCACTAATTAATGCAAATGGAGTTAAACTAATTTTAGGTTGCGATATGAAAGTTGCAAATATAATTTGTGGTCTTCAAACCCATTGCACCATTGTACATGGTGTGACATTAAATCTTAATATTGCCAAATCTGGAAACTTGAGAAAACTGGGCTCATATCTAGCCTTGAGTCTTTTCTGCAATCTGATCAGGGTCATTAAAAAAAGCCAATCATCAGTCAGTCTGACAATAATCTGATTTTGGAAATAATCCCACCAATAAGACTGGATCTCTTTATAGGAGTTGTCAATAATTTTTTCAAGATACTTAAAGCTGCTTGGATGCTGTTAAATGGCCAGCTGCCCTAAAAAGTTTAAATTCAACTGTAAAAGCTTGCTTTGAATTTATCCTTTAGCCAGATTTTGCTGAACTAACTGAAAGTTTCAAAAGGTGTTACTTAATGATAACTGGTACAAGCGTAATATTTGCTTGATTTTGAGCATAATGACCCGCTTGATAAGCGCAATGACCCACTTGATGAAAATTTATTTGAATGAAACAACATAACCCTTTTTAGGCTATCGCTCCATACGCTCTGCTTTTTATGCATGTGCATCAAGAGCCATGATACTGAAAATGAGTTTTGTATCTTGCAAGACTTGTGTTTTTATCTTTCTGAAACCAAAAAATGCAAATATCAAATATTACCGATCCAAACTTTTCAGAAATCAATTTTATATTTAGACATTAAAGATAATATGTGTAAAGCTTACAATCATCGCTTATATTACAAAATTGTCTTTCTTTAATACATAGCTAATAGTTATCTCTTAAAGTATTTAGACAATCTAAAATCAAAAAAGCAGGAAATATCTGAAACACCCTTAGATTCAAAATATATTGATTTTTAGTATTTTAAGGATATTTAAGATTTTTTTAATGAAAAAGAGTGAAAACCCTAAAAAGGGTTACAAAAATATTTTTTGTGTGTGTGGATAATTTCATATGAAGCATAATATATATGGCAGCATATACAAAAAGTTGGAATAGGAAATTAAGACGAAATTCATTTAATCGCAAGTCAAATGATAAAACGTTTCACTTCCTTGCTTTTGCTTTTGTATTGGTTGTAAAAAAAAATGTGAAAACAGAAATAAAATAACAATAATCTTTTTAATAATGATTTCTTTTTTTATAAATTTAATGACTGCAAAATGAAACACATTTAATATTTTTTATATTTATAATTTTACAAAGTGAACAAAATTTTGAATATATTATAACAGATAATTTTTAGTTGTACTTGAGGTGTACTTGATTCAAATGTTATTAAAACCATATATTATTTTAGCCAATTTTTTAATTGAAATAACATAATTAAGATATACCACATTCTTCTGACCCTGAGAATCAAGTACACCTCTGCCACTATTTTAACTAAAAAATATATTTTGTAATATATTATAAAAAATATTTTTAAACTTGTTAAAAGATCAGCACAAAAAGAATAAAAAACCATAAAAAAAATATAATAAATACTTTGTATAATTATAGCTTTTAACAAATTTTAGCTTTGAAGATAATGATATTTATTATTTAAAAACTATTTAATATTTACAAATTTACATAGTAATAAATAATGTAAACTTGAAATTGAACTAAGTTGATTTTATAGAAAAGTCTATGGAAGTTTACAAAACTGGAATTGAAAACTATGGATGCTTATAGTATACATTTAAAACAAAGTGTTTTACATCAAATAATAATAGTAATAATAATAATAATTGCATTAATAATAATAAGGATAATAATAATAAAATAGGCTATATATAACTATATTATAGTTATTCTAAATTAGTGATAAAAACTAAATGTAGTATCAGGGTTTAATACTATTCAGTTTTCAAAATTAAATTTTTAATTAAAAAAACTATTCGATGCTTTATTTAGTGCGTTAATGAAATTACATATATAGTAAAACGTATTGGTATATTGCAAACACGTGTTTTCAAAAAAATTTTAAAATCACGATAATTAAAACTTAATTTAGTTAGGAGTCTAACTATAATTTAGTTAGAGTTTTTATTTAAGTGGATTCATACTCCTTACCTTGGATGTTGGAACAACTTGAATTTTTTTAAAATTGTAAAGTGACATGTCTTATATTAATATTATTGAAAAATAAAATTAACACTAAAAATTAACGTCGACATGGAAGGTACGCGCTTCTTGCTGAAAATGTTTGACAAAATCAACTATGTTTTTTCGATTATCGACACGAATTTTGCGATTATAGAATATAAATAATGATAACGGTAAACGATCCCCTTCTTTTTTTACACGATTTTCACGGCTTTGATTCTTTATTCATGAGTAAAGCTAAAGTAAAAAAAGATTGCCGTTACTTTTTAAGGTGGTAGACGATTAAAATATTATTTTCGAATCTGATAATATTTCAATTGATTTTTTTTTACTTCAAACATGATAATAAGTTATTTTTAATTTTTTTCTCATAAATTTTAGACAAAAATAGGTGGTTTTAGGTTAAAAACCAGCATTTCAAGCAAAAAGAAAAAAATTCTGGTTTTTTGTTGTTTTATTCCGTTTGTGTAGATAAATGTTCCGAGATTTTGATGAAAATTTTTTTATTTTAAAGCATCCTAAGATTTTTAATGTGCCTAATTTAAAATCAAACTTCTGATATTATGGACTGATATATATTTTTTAATTTTTGTTCTTAATTTTTTTATCTCAAAACATAAAGCTCAGTATAATGAATGTTTGTACAAAATTTAAAATCATTTTGACAATTACAGTTTCTGCAATCTGAAATATAAAACAAAGAAAAAAGAATATAAAATTTAAAATATTGAATACACAGCATTATATAAACAGGTTAAAATCCCTCTTTTTCGTATACAGTTCTCTCTTCATCATTGTATTTATCAATGAACCTTTTACTAGTTGTTCTAAGATTTATTCTTTGTTTTTAAATTTTTAAAAATTGCTAGGAGAAGCAAAATTACCCTGCTAAAACAAGCCTCTTTTATTAGTTCTAAATTTTTTTTCTTATATTCTATAAAAGTTACTGTTTAAAATAACGCGACATTTAAAAATTATTTTTTTCTAACTTTTTTATTAGTCTACCACCTTAATAAAATTCTTAATAAAAGGTATTACGCAGTATAAGTATAATATAGGCATTAAAACTAAAATTACCTATTTTAAAAACTTTAATATCAATAAAAGTAATATTTTAATTTCAATTATAAATAAATAAAATTTTGCCATGAAAAAATAAGTGTTTAACTTTGCTGATGACTAAAAAGTGTTTTGTCAGATATTTAAAGTTAAAGAAGTCAAATATTTAAAGTTAAAGAAAAGTTTACAAAAACTTATCTAGTGATTGTTTAAATGGCAAGTTTTTATTCAACTTATTAGCAACGTTCAACATGGCTTTATTTGACCAGCTCTGACAGCATGGTTTGGCCTTAACAAGTAATATATATATTTGGTGTTTCGTCGCGAAGTTCGGACTTCTAAGAGTTTGGAAAGATGTGCACGAGGTTTGTTTGATATTATTTTGTATACAGATACCTTATCTTATTTTTAATGAATAAAGTGTTGTATACAGATATCTTATAGGTTATTCTTTAATGAATTGGAAACCATTGAATTAATTTTAGCAATTTTTTAAATTTAAGCTGTTAGGAGAATAAAAAACGGTGCGGGATACGCTATTTTGTATACTTTAGAATTTTTTAAGATTTTTTTTTTAGTACAAAAAATAATTAAAATAGTCAAATCTGAGTTACAATACCGCAAGCAGTTTGCAGTGTCAAAGAGTTTTTTTATATGCTGGTCCATCGTAACATAGTGCTGAATCGAAGATGACGCCAAAGAGTTTTATCAAATTTACTTATTATTCCAGAGAAGTTAGTATTATTAGTATTATTCCAGAGAATTTAATTTTGGAATCATTTTATTATAAAAATCATTTTGTGATTGCATTAGCACATTTAGTGACTTTGTTGATGTATTATTTGCTGTGTTGACGATTGATAAACATAATATATTTTAATACGACAAAAACTCTTGCAAAAGTTCAATTTACGCTAACCAATGAAGTCTTATGACTTAAGGCGCTTCGATATTACATAGGCGACATTAATTACGTGTATAGCACTTCTATATCTAAATCCTGTAAATGTAATAATTTATATTATATAATGGATCTACAAAATATAAAGTTATAGAAATAATAGAATTGAATAAATACGGTTGGGGAGAAACCTTATTTTTTAAATATTTTTATTTGATATATATTTTTTTTATATTTCACTGATCGAAAAAATATCATTAAAAGAAACTCCATTAAAGGAACTCTCACATAAATACCATTATTACAAAACTACTTCCTTGGAACTAATACTTGGAACTCTCACATAAATACCATTAATACAAAAGTCTCAAAAAACATTGGTCTACTCTATAAAGCAAGAAATTATTTATCGTTCGATAATTTAAAACTTCTTTATTTTTCCTTTATACACAGCTATCTATCATATGCCAATATAGCATGGGCAAGTAACCATAAAACTAAATTAAGTTCACTCTATAGACGACAGAAACTCGCCTCAAGAATTATTTTTTATAAAAACAAACTTACTCACGCAAACCCATTACTAAAACAGATGAATGCTTTAAACATTTACCAAATTAATATATATCAAAATATTTTGTTTATGTTCAAACCTAAAATGGGAATTATTCCAAGTCGATTTATGAATAACTTTTTTAAAACTAATATAAACAAGTTTAGCACTAGAGCAACTGGAAACTATATAGTACCCCCTAAAAAAAGAAAAGTGTCTCAATTCTCAATAGCATATCGTGGCCCTTACTTGTATATTAAATTAATACCAAAAAATTCCTCAATATTTCTCCTGAAAAATATAAATTCCTTAAAATCTTATCTTAAAAAATATTATATGAAAATTTTCTAATAACTTATGAGTAATTAAAATATCAAAATCATGTACAAAAAAAAAAAAAAAAAAAAAAAAAAAAAAATAATAATAATAAAAAAAAAAGTATGAATGTACATATATACATGTGTATGTGTATGTGTATGAGAATATGTGTGTATGTATGTATATGTATGTGTATTTATGTATGTGTGTTTGTATATATATATATGTACGTGTGTGTGTGTGTATGTGTGGATATGTGTATATATATATATATATATATATATATATATATATATATATATATATATATATATATATATATATATATATATATATATGTGTATGTGTATATGTATATATGTGTATATGTATGTATGTGTATATATATATATATATATATATATATATATATATATATATATATATATAAGTATGTGTGTATTTATGTGTATGCGTATGTATGTATGTGTATATATATGTGTGTGTATGCGTATGTGTGTATATGTATGTGTGTATGTATATATGTATATATATGTATATGTATGTGTGTATGTATGTGCATATATGTATATATGTTATATTTATGTTATGCTCCTTCCTAAAAACACGACTAATTATATTAAAAAATGTAATAAGTAATGAATAAAATATTTATGAGTATCTCATGAAATTGTTTAAAAAAAGGGTTCTCGATGACAAGACTTTACACAGTTTTCTGCGAGTTTCCCTTGACTACATAACTAAAGGTTTAATTTTTCCCTTTTTAAGACTTTTTTGTCTTTCCAAAATATAAACTGAAAAACTATTTTACATTATTTTATTACTTTGTACATCAAATATATCTTAGTATTATTTCAGTTATTTTCAAAGCATTTTGACTGTATTTGTAATAAAAGTATATATTGTTAAAACTATTTGTAATAAAAGTATGTATTGTTAAAGCTAAAAAGATAATTTTAGTGGCGTTGCTAATGAGGCAAACAATTTTAAATGGCAATCTGGTATTGTTATAATATAAGATAATTCTAGTGGAAATAAATTTAAATAAGATTGTCAGGCTATGTAAAAGTTTGAATATTTAAAGTAGCCACCATCTAGTATCTTGGTAAAAGTTATTAAATGAAAAACATTTCTAATAAAATTAAATGAATCAGAAAGTTATTTGAATGAAAAATAATTTAATGTAATTATCAAAATATTTAAATTAATATAATTATTCTTCAAGTTTCGTTCCAAACCTGTACATGCACGTAAAAGAAAATCTAGGAGCGATGTGAAATCAAAAAAAGTTAAATTCTAAAATTTATTTTTTGCTAACAAAATAAGAAACTTTTGGTATGTATAAAATATCACGGAATGCTATAATGTCAGAAAATTCTTCAAGCTGAGAATTTAGAAAATTTTCTAATTTTTATGTCTATTTCCATAACGGTTTTGGAGACTTTTTAATTTCTGCAGAAAGTTTCTGATTAGTTTCTTTCATTTTGGTAATTGCTAATTCTTTATTTTTAATTTCTTTAATGTTTTCATTTGCAATACGTTCTTTTTCTTCTAAGGTTTTTTCTTCTCTTAACTTTAGCTGCACAATAGAACTTTTACATTTTTCATTTTCTTTCTGATGCTCAAGAAGCTTTGACTGCAAAGCATTTACATGATTTGACAACTCCAATTTTTCGTTCTCTTTAACAGCTAACTCTGTGACTTTTTCTTCTAAGTGTTTGCATTCATCTAATGATTGTTTGTAGAGATGTTCAGCAGTGCATGTTTTCTCAGCTAAAAGCATACTCCGTTTCTCGTTGTTTAGTAATAATAACGTTAACTCTTCGTCTTTTTCTTTAAGAAAACCTTTTAACTGTTCACTTTTAAAGTTTAAACTATTTCTAATTATTCCATACTTTTCTTTAGTTTTTTCAATTTTAGATTGTTCACAAACAATTTCTTTTTTAAGCTGGTCGTTCTCTTTTACCAGATTAGCAATATTTTTCTTTTTCTCGTTTATTCTCGCGTTGATATTTTCCAAATGTTTTTCTTTTGACTCGAAGACTTCTTGTAAAACGTCGCTCTCATTAAGAATTTTTTGAAGATCATCTTTTAAGATAGTTGTAATTTTTTTTAGCTCGTTTTCGTGAGTTTTTGGAACAATAATATAATGTATGCCATTTTCATCTTCAATTACTTCACCGTTGCTGACTTTTCCAAGAAGTTTATCGTGGGCATATGATAGCCTTTTCTAAAAATAGTTTAAAAGATTAAATCATTAAATATATTATATGAATATATATATATATACTTAAAAATAAAAGTTTGTAAAAAGAAATTTTTTATTTTGAGTGTTGAAATAATGAGACACTGAAAGTTTATATATATATATATATATATATATATATATATATATATATATATATATATATATATATATATATATATATATATAGACACACACACATAAGGGTGTCATAAAAAACAACACTTTTGAAATATATCTGCATGCATTAAAAAATATTTTTAGGGACCCCCAAGATCATTGAGTATTTATAGAGTCCCTTATATTATTATACAAGTTTTTTAAAGTATTATATGTTGGGTCTTAAATGAAACGAAATTATTTGTTTCGTTTCATTTAAAACCCATCATAAATGAAACGAAACTATGTGTTTCATACAAAAGTTATGAAATTAAAATTTCAAAAATTGTAATTGTGTTTTGAAAAACTTGAAAAGAAATTAAAAAAATTCGATGATATTAGGGACTCATTAAACATTACATTATATATTATATACTCGTTAAAAGGTCTTGGGGACCCCTAAAAATATTTTTCATTTAAAAAGTTTTTAAATCTAATGTTGTTTTATGTTTTAATATTTTTCGCAAAATTATTATATAAAACAAAATGGGGTTGCCAATAGATATTTTTCAAAAATGATGGTATTTCGGACACCCGTAAACGTTTTTTTTTTTTGCAGCAAAGTCACTGTCTATATTTGACAGTTTGACATTTGAGCCATAAATACAATTGAAAACAAATAATTAGCAAGATTAAAAAATTTATAATTAAAAAATTATACAAAGATCTCAGTTTTTCTGAACTTCTAAAACAATTTATAATCAATTAGTTAAATATCTTAAACTATGAAACTCTTAAATATGGATATGCGTCTTTGGTACTTTAAACCATCGAATTTAAATTAAAGATCAGTTTCCACTTATCCTTTTTTTACGGAAACGGTAAGGAAAGGAAAATAATCACGTGAGCATGCGTAGTAAAAATTTTAATTTACCCGAAGCAGAACTACTCTTGCGCGCGTGATTATTTTTCCCTTCTTTTTCCCGTTCCGTAAAAAAAGGATGAATGTAAACTTACCTTTAAACGTAAGTGTTTTTACCTTGGATACCACAAGTTGCGCCTGTAACTCCTGAACGGTTTTTGTTAAGAACCTTATTTCTCGCTTTTGATCAAGATTCTGGAAATGAAGTTTGTACTCACTGTCAACGTCTGTTTCCGTTGATACAATCGGTTTTATTATTCTCTACATTAAATTATTTTAAATATTTTTAATTTAACATATTACGAAATTATGTCTAATTAAACTTTCATTATAAAAAGCTAAAATATAACAAACAAAAAAAAATTAATAAATTTTGTCGCAAAATTTACTTGTAACTTAATAATTATTATTTTAATGTTTTTGGAACGTAAAAGAGCCTGTAAACTAGTTTGCATCAAATTAAAAAACGAAAACCTTTATTAAAAGCTACCTCTTTAGACTTTATAGCCATCTCTTGTTTTAATTTTTCGTTTTGAGTAATGATTCCTTTCCATTTTAAATTTTCAGACATGTTTCTGGTAAATTTTGTTTTTCTTTCCTTTCCTACTTTCTTTCTTTTTTCTTTTTTTGCCGTTCTTGCCTTTTTTACGTTTTATAAAATAATGTTGTTTTTTTCTACGCAAACTGTGTTGTAAAATCACAATTTTTAGAGTTTTTATTCTTAAAAATAAATTTTTGCTATCAATAAACTTTTAAAACAAATCTGCTATGTCAATAAAAAATTTATTGTTTTTTCACATTAAAGGAATTTTTCAATTGTGGGATTTTTTCAAAAGCAAACGCCTTAGAACAAAATTATTGCAAATGGGAGCGTTAATTTAATCCCTCAGTTTTTCATTTGCAACGCGCAAAACGTCAGATAAATTTTGTAATTGGAGAAGACATTTAATCTGTCGTAAAAATATAATACAAGTTCTTTATTAAACCATTGAACTAAAGTTTTGTACTATAGCAAAGTAAATTTAAATTTGAAGATAATGTAATAAAAATATTTTATAAATTTTATTTAAATAAAAAGAGTTTAGAAAAACTTAGCCTCAATACTATCACCATAGTTTGGTAAATTTTTATTAATTCCTTAAGGGTAAATTTAATGTCACAATAAGGGTAAATTTACAACAACCATAAAGATAAGTTTTTAAAACAACCGTAAAGATAAAATTTACTAAAATTTTTACTTCCATAAGGTTAAATTTACTACAAATAACCATATAATCTTTACTGCAATCATAAGGGTAAGTTTATTACCATTATAAGTGTATATTTACTACCACTATAAGAGTAAAATTAGTACCATCATAAGGGTAGATTTACTAACTTTATAAGGGTAAACTTACTACAACCATAAGAGTAAATTTGATCGCCAAAATATCTTTGCTAAATAAAATTTTAACTCCATCAATAAGTTTCGTACTAAGCTAAAAATAAAAGATTTTTCAAACGCTGTTTGTCTCTAAAAATGCCCTAGATGAATTTGAATTTAAGGGCTTTAGAAAGATTTTTAAAATCTTGAGGGAGATTTGGTTGGGAGATATTGCAATAAGTTTAAGTTAATTTATCAAAGAGCCATGTTTATGAAATTAATATGCTTTTTTTTTTTTACTTTAGACTGGCAAGACGTTTGTAGAACGTCTATTCAACGTTTAATAGACGTCACGAGTCTGCAAAACATCCTAAAGACGTTCAGCGGACGTTCTGTGCCCGCTGGAATTATTTTTATTTTTAACAAAACATTCATTTGTATTTCTCTTCTTTTTATATATTTGTATAAAGGTTAATATTTATTACAATTGTAATACAGAAAAAAAAAGTATTAAAATCATGATTGGTATCATTACAACCAAATCATGATTGGTATCATTACAATCAAAGTTGTACTTAATGGTTTATGTTTATTACACTAGTCGACTATCTTACAGACAACTTATGAGTCTTATAGGATCGCATATAATTTTATACTATCCTACAGGATATCTTACAGGATTTGTAAGATTTTATTTGTCTTTCAAATCCTATAGGATCATAAGAAATCCTGTGATTACCCATAGGGTATCTTAAAGGATTCGTAAGATTTTATTTGTCTTGCAAATCCTATAAGATCATAAGAAACCCTGTGATTATCGTAAGATTTTCAATTTTTTAAATTTATTTTGAAAAATGAAAAACTTATCGGTGGTGGGTTTCGAAACCCGGATCACTAGACCATTAGTGCCTTACCACCTGCGCTATACAACATTATTAGTATGGAAATAAATAAAAATATATTATAATTAAAAAATAATTAAAAACTATTTTTATTGAATGTATATAAATAAAAGTGTTGTAAAAAAATTAAATAATAACAAATAACTATATATATATATATATATATATATATATATATATATATATATATATATATATATATATATATATATATATATATATATATATATATATATATAAAATGCCGCCAAGAACTGTTTCGCCGCCCGGGACAGCAACATGATTGGCGTTGGAAATCTGCCCCTTGGAAATCTGCCGCCCGGGACAATCTGTCCCTTACGTTAAAATTAAATTATTACCAAAAAAATCTAGTTGAATTAAAATTTTTCTCGCAATCAGAGTGTATATTGAATTGCGTGACTTTCTGAGTAAATTGAGTCGTAGAGTGACGTGATTTAAATCATTAGACATTATGAATTGCGGGAAAATAAATAGCACTCAAGTGCTATTTATTTTCCCGCAATTCATAATGCCTTTCAATAACGCATTCAAATCACGTCACTAGCGCATTTAAATCACGTCACAAATCACAAAAATTAAAATATTAGATACAAAATTAAGATATTAGATTCTCAAACAGCATGTTCATTATAATGAACATGCTGTTAGAGAATCTAATATCTTTTTAATTTTTGTTAAAGAAATATATAAATAGTTGCTATATCATGATTATTTTATATTATGGATTTTATGAAAATTTTATAAACTTGGTAACATAAATATGCATAAATTTTGTTGTATTAATAATTATTATTGTATTTAAACTTTACTCTAATTAATTAATAAAAATTAATAATAAAAATTGTTATATATTTATTTTACATATTATATATATATATATATATATATATATATATATATATATATATATATATATATATATATATATATATATATATATATATATATATATATATATATATATATATATATATATATATATATATATATATATATATATATATATATATATATATATATATATATATATGTATATATATATATTATATATATTTTTTAAAGTATGAAAGTTTGCTGTATTTTTAACACGAAACTATTAAATTTAAAATGTATTAGAGAAAGCCTGAATACAACTCATGGAGAGGCTGATAGGTAGGTTTTTTAATTAGGGCATTTTTATGTAGGTAATGTTATTGGGCAGCAGCTTTAAGGCTTACCTATTTTTTATAAGTTGTTGGCACAGGGTGGGAGGGGGTTATTTAGAAAATCATACTTTCAGTGCTTGGGTTTTTATTAAATTTTCTATTTTTCTTAATCTATTTTGAAAATTTGGGATCAATTAGTTTAACTTAATAGATCATGATCCAGATCCAAAAAAGTAGGATCTTGGACTAACAACTTCTCATACTTCATTTATTGAAATAATTATAAATATGTAAGTATAAAAAAAAGCTTCTTGGAAAATATGAAACTTCAGAATTACAAAGAAAAGCCAGAATTCAAAATTTAAGTTTTTGACCAGTCATTCGTTTGACCGAATCGATCCATGGATTTGACTAATATGCTCAGATTAGGCATTTCAAATGAATTTTTTTTTCTTAAATTCGTCTAAATATTTGAAGCAAGTAGCTAAAATTTCAAGTGTTTTTACTTTTTACTTAGTCATACTCTTTAAATAATTTAAAAATTTTGTCAGGGGGTAATAATCCCCCCTCCTCCCTTGTGCCTGCGATGAGTTAAGGGGCGGGACGGGTTTTAAATTTTTAATTAAAATTTTTGCTATTTTAAAAATTAAGAATACAAATTAAAACCTTCATTTGCTGAAGATATACAAGAGAAGTTAGAAATACAAGATGATAACGATAAGTTAGGCGACTAATAGTGGTCTAAATTAACGTCAACTTAATCAAACATGCACAATCACAAATGTTGGGTCAATTAGCAGCCAACCATATGTCAATGCAATGCCAACATACAGCAAATTCTAATGTTTAGTTAGGCTAGCAATAACAAATACGTTGGGCCAACTAAATTGTGTTGCCAAGAAATTACTTTATTTAAAACTTACATTCCAAGGTTATATTTTAAGATAAACTGCCGCAGTTTAAAGGTAGCTTATTTTTCTATCCACTTTTTGTTGTTGTCAACATCAGTAATAAAGGTTATTAACAAAGTTATTTCAACTACCAACTAATTTTTGAACTTTTAAAAGTGATTTGGTAAACCTAGAAACTTTTTAATAACCACTAAAAGCTGTATAATAAAAATAGCTAACTATTGGTAGCTATATTAATTTTTTAATCAACTCCACGCAAAGACTTCTTATTTACAATAATGTTTTTTGTTAATATTGTTGCAAACAATGCAACGTCATTTTAATTTAATTTTTCCAGGAAATTAGCTAGTTATTGCAAAAAGATAAACTTATCAGTTTTATCCCAAAACATCTTGATTAATTTAATTTATATTTAAAGAACGATACTAGAAAAATTCTTATCGACAATCCCAGGAGGGATTTTTTTATATAAGAATTTTTCTAGTATCGTTTTTTAATTAAAAACAACTTTATTTCTTTTAATTTTTTAACCGGGAGGTTCTTAACAACAAAAACTCCCATTAAATATTAAAAAAAAATTAAAAGAAAAAAGTCGGTTTTCTTTAAAAAAAACTTTAATCATAAAAATAGTAATAGAAGCACCGAGAGTGCACCAGTGTAGGTGCACTCTCGGTGCTTCTACAAAAAAAATTAACATATAGACTGGGGTGATGTTTGTATTTTTTGGCAGATAGTGTTATAGGTTCTAAAAGTTGTTACTTTGCTTAAAAATTTTACTTTAAACTTCATAATAATTTAAAAGTATTTGGGAAATCTTTCATTAAAAAAGAATGGGCCCATATATTATTTTTATTAAAGTTGGTAAACCATGTTCTAAAAGTTTTTTCTTTCAATTTTTATTTTGCTCAATTTAATTAAACTTATCAAAACTTTAATAGTTTAATTTCGATAAATTCCTTTTTTGTTTGTTTTATTTTTTGAGTGGGACTTTATTAGGTTGGAATTCCTCTGGCTTTAAATTTTTTGTGTGGAAATTTTTCGAATGTTTTAAGGTGAAAACTTTTTGAGTAGGAATTTTTTTTCAATTGAAAAGTATTTTTTCGTAAGTTTTTGCATTTTTTATAAAATGAGTAATATAATTCTAATATTATTTAAATATTTTGTTTATAAAACTTTCCGATATTTAACGAGTGTTTAAAAACATTAAAAAAAAGGAGAAAGCTATGATATCATTACTTTTTAAATATCTTAGTAAAATTTTTAATTTTATTGATAACTTAGTACGATATCGTTATAGACAATAATTTACCTTTTTTGCGCGAAATTTGGGTAAAGTCAGACGAGAAAACCTTTTTTTTCTCGCTAATATATTTTT